TGGGGTCTTAAAAGCTTGCAACCAGCCATCCAAAGCACAACAATTAATCTCTTTTATCCTGGAACAACAGAGGAAGAAGGAGAGTCAGGAATAGGAAGAGGTTATGGAATGTGTGGCTAGTTGCCTCCATGAACAACTGCTTCCTTGCCATGAGACCAGAACTACAGAGTTCCTGGCTACCATTACTGAATATTTAGATCAAAAATTCCATAGAAGAATCCTGATCAAAAGGGGGGAAATATAGAACAGAATTTCAAATTCTCAAGGACTCCAGACTTCCTGAAGCCATGAAAGTTGTCTGAACCCCTGGAATTTTTGCCCTGAGATAACCTTTAAACTTTAAACCAAAAATAACCCCTAAAGTGTTCTTAAAATCAAACAATTGTTTAACTTAACAGATAAAAAAATGTCTGCCTTGAGCATTATGCTCTTTTAAGAACTATCTATATGGGATCAAATGGACAACTGTAACTCAGAAGACTAGATAGAACTTTAGTGGCCAGTGAGTTTACGTTAGTGAGGGAGAAACAGCTCAGAAAAGAAAGGTGAGAATTGTTACACAACTCAATGAATGTAATCAACATCATTAAATGGTACAGGTAGAAACTATTGAATTGGTGTATTTTTGCAGTGTATATTCTCAACAATAACAACAAAATAGATAAAATTATGTATATATATATATATCCATATATATATATGGCCCTGTTCTGGTCACCTAGTACTGCTTTGACAGGAATCTACCACAAATAGGATGGGTTGGACAAATAGGCATTTATTCTCACAGTTTTAGAGCCTTTAAGTCCAAGTTCAAAGTGCCAGGCTCTGGGGGCTGGGTGAAGGCCCCTCAACCTTGGCCTTCAGCTCTGCCTCCTACTCCTGGCCCACTGAAGCTTGAGGCTTTTCTTCACTCAGATGGCTGCTGGCTGCAGAGACTGACAAGCCCAAGGTTGACAAGTAAAAAGGCACAGTCCCTATGTTACCAAACAACATGGCAGGCCACTAATTTAAGTCTAAATGAAGTCCCAAGATTGGCATGGCATGGCAGGCTGTTGAACAACGACATGGCTACATGCAGGGTTAAAGCATGCCAAAAGGCTAGACAGAGACCAATCCCAAAACTTCCCCTTATACACAGGAAGCAGACCACATCCCTGAAGCAGCTACTCAGCTGCTCCAGTAGACTCTACCATGGAGCTGATTGCTGTTCTCATCATGGGGATCAACTACATCCTGCTGCCCAGACACTCGACCAGGTCCAGCCAAGTTGACCACAACTTAACTACCACAGACCCCATGAGGCACATTTCTACTCTGACACACATGGAGTTCCCGCATACAGGAATTGACTCAGGAAAAAAAAAAAAAGTGAGTTCAGATGATTTAAAGAATTTTTTCTAAATCTAAGTTACTGCATTTGAAACAAACTTTCAGAAGTATTTTTCTTTTTTAACAAATTAATATCATAACCTCCCAGCAACTTAACTAATTTAATCCGTGGCTGAATACTTAGTTTCACTCTCTAAATATAGCATACAAATACAAGATACGGCCAAACTTAGTTCCTCTATAGCTCTATACACCAAGAGTAAAGAACTAAGTTAGGATTTTCTGTCAAATAAGAATTTGATGACATTTTTAATAATATTCTTTTGAATTTTTTTCCTTCATTTTATAAAATTCAGGATGATAGATGGCAAATGGGAACAAATAAGCCGTTTTGCTTTCATTATTTCTTTTATTTTTATCAACATCTAATTTGAAAGCTCATCATATATCCAACACAGAAAACAGAGAGGATCAGAAAAAATAATACACATGTCCATCAACTAAAAGTGTGGTTAAATAATTGATGATAAAATTATGAAATGGAATACTAGGCAGTAAAGTGATGGTGCGGATCTAATTTTATTGGCATAGCAATGTGTCTCCAATACAGGGGACAAATAGCATAAATAACGATTGATAGAAAATAATAGATTATGTTCTCTGTTTTGTGCTCCTATGGTCCCCAATACTTCTTTCTCAACCCTCAAAATCCTTTATTGTTATTCTTCATTGTTTTTGTTAGCTGCTGTCAACTTGTCCCCAACTCATGCCCAATGGAAAATGTTGCTCAGTCCTGTACCATTCCTATGACTGGTTGTGGATCAGACCGTTGTGATCCACAGGGTTTTCACTGTCTGATTTTCAGAAGCATGTCACCAGGCCTTTCTTCCTAGTTTGTCTGGCTTTTCCCTGCCAGACAGTAGACTGACTCCATGAAGGCAGGGACACTATGTTTAACCAGTACCTAGTTAGTCCAGTGACTAGCACATGACTCAAAGTTGATAAAGAGTTGTTGAATGAGTGGGTAGTGCCTGGATCTCAGGAAGTGAGCTTTTTCTGGATGCTCCCTGCTTCCTTATCAAGCTGCTGACATATCATCTACTTAATCATCTGTTCTAGAATTTTACCTAAGATTAACATTAGTCTATGGGATTTACCATTTTCTAATTTTTGAGGGTTTGCATTCTGTTTTAGTTATCTAGTGCTACTATAACAGAAGATGGGTGTCTTTAAAAAACAGAAATTTATTTTCTCACAGTTAAGGCTGGAAGTCCTAATTCATAGTGCTGGCTTTAGGAGAAGGTTTCGTCTCTCTGTTCAGCTCTGGAGGAAGGTTCTTTTCTCTTTTGATCTTCTGCTCCTGGCCAGTCTTCATGTGGCTTGGCATCTCTCTTTCCTCATCTCTGCTTTCTTTTTTAATCTCTTTTATAACTCAAAAAAAGATTGACTTAACGCATTGTTGTTGTTGTTATGTGCTATCAAGTCAGACCTGACTCATAGTGACCCCTCCTTGGGTTTCCAAGGCAGTATCCACTACGGAAGTAGATTGCCCCATCTTCCCTCTGAGGAGTGGCTGGTGGGTTTGAACCGCCAGCCTTCTGGTTAGCAGTCAAGTGCCTTAGCCACTATGCTACCAGAGCTCCTGACTTAACACATAGCTACTCTAATATTATCCATTAACATAACAAAGAAAATCCATTCCCGAATGGGATTATAACCACAGGTATTGGGGTCAGGATCTACAGCATATATTTTGGGGGACATAATTCAATTGATAACAAACTCTTACTCATTTTGACTCTCAGTTTTCAGTCTCCCTCATTAGATTGCTAGCCCTTCAAAGCCAGGGACCATGTTCTGCTCAAAATGGAGGCCTTTTGAGCAACTAAATGATTTGATAAATACAGCCTCCTAACCAGCCACTCCTCGGAAGGAAGGTTGGGCAATCTACTTCCATAGTGATACTGCCTCAGCAACTCAAAGAAGGGTCGCTATGAGTCGGGTCCAACTCGATGGCACATCACAAGAACAACAATAAGGGAACAAGGCATTTGACTGCTGACCAAAAGGCTGGCAGTTCAAACCCACCAGCTGCTCCTTGGAAGGAAGACTGGACTATCTACTTCTGTAGAGATACCACCTCGGAAACCCAAGGAGGGGCACTGTGAGTGAGCTCCAACTCAACAGCAGTGAGTGGTTTTAAGGGAACAAATCATGAATTGGGATTATTACAATTTAATAACCACCACCACCACCTTCTTTTACAGGCCAGGCAGTGTGGTGGACTTTATTGTTTCTTCTTCTCAGCAGCCCTCTGAGAGGTACTACGATCCCATTTTACAGATATGGTTCCTGAGGTTTCAGCAAGTCTCAGGAATTCACTCACAATCACCTAGCTAGTAAGAGAAGGAACCAGGATCGGAGACCAGTTTTCTCTAACTCCAAGATCCATGCTCTTAATCACTTTTGACCATCCTCTCCCATTCCTCCAGCAGCTGGCAAATGGAAGCCCTTGTCTCAGGAAACAAACCAAGGCTCATATGTATATTATGTCCATCTTATTACATGCAATTTAGTGAATCAGAAGGCATTCTAGAAGGACAATTCACTAAGTTACTCTCCCAACTTGTCCTGTTTGTTTAGACAGTGACTATCATGGCTACTAGAGAAGACAGTTTTCTGGCTTTGCCGTCCTGGCCTTCTGGACACAAGCAGAGAAGTCATTAACCCTTATAGGAGGCCTATGAGTAGCTCTTCAAACTATGTGGGACTAGAAGCCTCTGGATAATGCCTCCCCTGCACACGTGTACACACACACATACACTCCTTTTTTTTTTTTTTTTAATAAGCTACACAGCGACCAGCTGTCTGCCCATTTGTTGTACCATGATGGCCTGTGTACTGCTATGATGCTGGAAGCTAAGCCACTGATATTTCAAATAGCTGGGCCACCCATAGTGGACAGGTTTCAATGGAGCTTTCAGAGTAAGACAGTTTAGGGAGCAAGGCCTGGCAATCTATTTCCAAATATTAGCCAATAGAAGACTTACTGGATTACAACAAAACAGTGTCTGTCTCACTTGCTTTAACACATCAGTAGAAGGGATCAATTGATCAGTCACTGGAAGAAGATATCATGTTTGGTGAAGTAGAGGACAAACAAGGATAAGGGAGACCTTCGGTGAGTTGAATTGGCACTGTCGTCACAGAGATGGCCTCAGACATGTTAGCTCTGTTGTATAAAAATTTACCTTGAGTCAGAGCCAACTTGACAGCATCTAACAACAACAACAACAAACTACACAAAGGGAAACAGTGTTGATTATTTCCTGAACAGATTCTTTCTGTTGCAGACTGAGACCCCTACACACAAGTATAGAGAAGGCATTCACATGGGAAAAGATTTGAGGGGATTAAAAAATTGTCAGGATGTAGTTGTGCAAAATCTGACTCCAAGGAGAATGAATGATGTTTGGCTGCCATTACAAGAAGCATATGGTTGATAAATACTGTCTGGTATTTCCTGGATGATTTCTTACCCTCACACTGCATGCCCTGATCACTGTGGTCCACTGTGCAGACGCAAATCCCCTGAATCAGGCTGTGGGTGACTCACACACCCCCTTTAAATCTGCATTGGGTTCAACCCAGTGATTGCTGAGGTAGAAGCCATGGCTGGGAGACTCTGCTTCTCCTTCTGGTTCCTTGTCTGCTGCTTGGTGGTAACTGTGGCAGAAGGTAAGGGGCTTGTTTTTATTCTATGTGAGTTCACTAATTAACAAACTGTGGGAAATGACAAAACATGGCTCCATGATTATACATTCCTGTGAATTGGGAATATTTACATCAGCAGCCATCAGCCTGCTAGGTAAAGAGAGAGTATTTCATCATTTTAAGACCTTAGCTGCAGTCTCAGCTCTAGTTTCATGACTCTAGACACATTTCTTTCTGAGCATCACTCTCCTTATATGTGAAGTGACAATGTTGATAATATTCATTAAAATGGGGTTCATGAGGCCCAAATGAACTATCATATGTGAAAAAAAGATTCTTCATATTTAAAACACTATACAAATACTAATGTTTATTGTTACACACTTAACAGTTTCTACCTTGAATTTCAACAATGTCCATCTGTTTTATCTCCCCAGCAGCATAATACTATGCACCTGGTAAATGTTTAGGCTCTGTTTGCTAATTACTATAATTAATCATATCTGTCAGCTGTGTCTTCATACTACCTCAGCAAGCATAGATTCTGGTTTCTCTCTTTAGGATTAGATTAGAGTTGGGATTGTATTAGAATTCTCTTTAGGATTGTATTTCTCTACTATTCCTCCTCTCTTTCTTTTTTTCCCACTACAAAATCTCCAGTTCTCCAATTCTTAGAATTGGTTTGCAAAAGGAAAAGTAAGGGAAGAGAAGAGAAAAGAAGGGCAGTAAAGGGAAGTGGGCGAGAAAGAAAAGGGCAGACAAAAAGAGGACAAGAAAAGAGATCTTAGTGGACCTGGGTCTAACTTTTTTCCCACAAAATTGCTCCAAAATTTGATGCTTTTCAAGGAGCAGAGACCCTGAAGTCAAACTGAGCTCTTCCCTCCTCTCACATGCCCCTGGGGGGCTTTGCAGGGGTCAGAGGAAACCTATTTATCTCCAGACAAGGTCCCTGAAAGCTCACACCAGAATAGAGAGGTCAAAATCAAATTCAAATTCACTGTCATCAAGTTGAATCTGACTCATAGAGACCCCTCCTTAGGTTTCTGAAGCGATATCTCTACGGAAGTAGATTGCCCAGTCTTCCTTCCCAAGAGTGGTTGGTGGGTTTGAAACTCCAACCTTCTGGTTAGCAGTCAAATGCCTTAGGCACTATCCCACCAGAACTCCTGAATAGAGAGGTAGAAGCATCAGAATTGGTTGTGAAACAACCAGAGGTCATCTTGTCCGACCTCTGAGCCAGCACTGACAATCATAGATGGTAAATAACACTGGGTCCCCAAGACAAGGCCCCCAATCATCACGTGTTAACAGTGACATCAAAAAGTACTTCATAAAACAGAACTAGACATCCTCTTACATAGCTACAGGAGTTAAAATGAAATTGTTGTTGGGTGCTGTCAAGTCTATTCCAACTCTTAGCAACCCCAGATGACTGAGTAAATGCCCTATAGGATTTTCTTGGCTGTAATCTTTAAGGAAACAGAGCACCAGGTCTTTTCTCCCACAGACTGGCTAGGTGGATTTGAACTGCCGACTTTCAGGTTAGCAGCCAGCACTTAACTGTTTGCACTACCAGGGCTCCTTATGATGAGATTTAAAAAGAAAAAAAACTACTGCCATTGAGTGGATTCCCACTCATTACAACCCTCATTGGGTTTGCAGGGTAGTAAATGTTTGCAGTAGATTGCCTTATCTTCCTTCCTCTGAGCGGCTGGTGGGTTTGAACTGCTGGTCTTCTGGTTAACAGCCGTATGCCTTAGACATTGCACCACCAGAGCTCCCTATAATAAGATTGTTGTTGTTGTTGTTATTTGCCATCAAGTCAGACCCAACTCATAGTGACCCCTCCTTGGGTTTCCGAGGTAGTATCACTACAGAAGTAGATTGCCCAACCTTCCTTCCGAATAATAAGATTAGAGGTTTCTTTTATCCACATCTAAAGAAACACTCATTGAAACATAAGAGTTGCTTTCTAAATTTGACTCACTCTCTCCAGTACTTCTCAGACTGGCCTCGAAGTCCTTCCAATGTGACTTCACTCTAGTCAAGCAGCCTATGTCCTAATTCGTTGCTCACTCACTCGTATTCTGAGCTTTCCAGACAGGTCAGTTTTGGGCCTCCAAACTTACCCTGTTCTCTTTCTCCTCCATGGTAACAGCTGCTACTGCTCCCACCTCCTACTTTCATCTCTGTTTATTGCAATTCTGCTTCAAGCCTAGCATTTAAATGCTACTGTGGAATTGCCTTCACAAAGCCTTTGGTAAGACATATAATTTTTAAATTGCAATCTCTCTCTCTGCCACCTTTGAATTCTTAAACATTCTTATACATTCTTGTACATTACCCACAACACTGTATTTGGCTCTGTGTTAAGAGATTCGTATATGTATAGTGTCTCCCCACTCCAAAGAACAGGCCCTATGTCTTTATCTTCTGCATTTGCCAGAGCACCTGATACAATAACAATGACATTGTTGAGAGGGCTTGCCTTGTAGCACACAGTGGAAAATGTCCTCTGTAGCATTCCTGGGTTCTACAGCTGTGAAATCAAAGATTTGACCAAGATATCCAGTCATTCTGGGAGTCTGCATAATGAATTGTGTTGCGGTATTGTGAGTAAATTAATCACAGGATTTTTTTTTTCTTTCTGGTTCACCTCTGAAAGCACAATAGAATTTTGCAGTGACTCCATGTGCTACTATAGAAGGAAAGAAACATACACTTACATATCAAGTGTAAAGCTTACTTCTCTTAAAATCATTCCAGTTCTCTACAAACCAGCTATTATCTGCCCAAATAACCACAGAGTGCAGGTAATTATAAAAAAAGGTCTTCTCATCATTACCTTTAAAAAAAAAAAAGTACTAGTTGCTGATATGGTATGAACTTCATATCTAGACTATAATAAACCCATTTAAAATTGATATCCAAATCCCAATAAATATTTTGACTCGGGTTTTTTTTTTATTATACTATAATCTTAAATGTAAATTATTGTTGCAGATTTTCTGGGACTGGAATTAAACTTTCACTGAGCTCCACAAAATATATAGAAAGGAACATTCAATGTCTGTCTGACCATTCATTTAATCCATCAAATATTGACTCCAAAAAACCACACTCACTGCCATTGAGTCAAATCCAACTCATAGCGACCCCTTTTTGAGTTTCTGAGGCAGTATCTCTATGGAAGTAGATTGCCCAGTCTTCCTTCCCATGAGTGGCTGGTGGGTTTGAACCACCAGCCTTCTGGTTAGCAGTCAAATGTCTTAGACACTACACCACCTGAGCTTCTGAATACAGAGGTAGAAGGATAAGAATTGGTTGTGAGACAACCAGAGGTCATCTTGTCCAACCTCTGGGCCAGCACTGACAATCATAGATGGTAAATAACACTGGCTCCCCAAGACAAGACCCCCAATCATCATATGTTAACATCGACATTGAAAAGTGCTTCATGAAACAGAACTAGCCATCCTCTTACATAGCTACACAAGTTATAATTAAACTGTTGTTGTTGGGTGCTGTCAAGTCTGTTCCAACTCTTAGCAACCCTGTATGACTGAGTAAAATGCCCTATAGGGTTTTCCTGGCTGTGATCTTTAAGGAAACAGAGCACCACTAAATGCCAGGAACTACTACTCTAGCTACAGAAGTCCCTGGGTGGGACAAACAATTAAGCACTTGGCTACTAATTGAAAGGTTGATGGTTTGAGTCCACCCAGTAACAACTCAGCAGAAAAGCCTGACTATCCATGTTCCAAAGATCACAGCCATTGAAAGCCCTATAGAGCTCTGACATACATGAGGATGCAATGAGTTAGAATTAACTCTATGACAACTGGTTAGTCTAACTACTAGGGACATAGCAGTGACCAACATCAACAATCCTGATCCTCATGGAAGTCCTATTTTTATAATATCTGTACCTTTTAGGCTCATCCTTAGTGCCCAGATTTTATGTATAAAATGTAACCAGATGGGCCTAAGAAAATGGGATTTATGCTAATGGAATCTTTCTATAACATTTCAGATTAATGGTAATAGTAGCTGACTCTTACTAAATGCATACCATGTGTCAGGCAATGTTCTGAGTACTTTATATGTCTTACTTTATATAATATTCACCAAAAAAAACCTATAAAATGGGCAGTATTATTTTCTCCATTTTATAATTTGAGGTTAAATAGCCTGCCTATGGTCATACAGTTATTAAATGGCAGAGTTCAGTCAACCTGGCTTTAGAGTTTATGCTTCTAAACCGTATCCTATTCTGTCTTTTGAAATGTTTTAAATCTGCATACAAATATTTGACTTAATTTGGTCTTGAAAGCTTGTGGCAGAGCTTTTGTCTTTGATACTCGGTGCCTGTAGTGGCATATTCCATAATGGGAAATAGTTGCTTATTAATCATCACATTATCCCTAAGAGGCTTTGCAATAATAGAAAGTGAGATTTCCTTCAGTCAATTTCATTCTACTGTAGACACTTAGGGATGAAGAGATGGTGGTCTATAAGATGGTCGTGTGGATATTTCAGTTAAGCAAGAATGTAACCACTGAATAGCAATAGTATGGCTGATGAAAGTATGAAAATGGAGTCCAAGACTGCAACAGAAGCAAACTGCAAGGGACCCTAACCCAGCCTCAGGTAGACAAAGACTTCCTGAGGAAATGAGACCTGAAAGATGAATAGGAGTTAGCCAGGCAGAGAGGGCAAGAAATGGTGCATCAGGCAACTGGAACCAACCATTTAAAGCCCATAGCCCTTGATGACTTCTGCCAAACTAGCTTTTGTGGTGCAGAGCAGGCCAGGTCAGATTCCAGTGGACTGAACATTGTTGTTGTTAGGTATCATTAAGTCAGTTTTGACTCTCAGCAACGTCATGTATGAAACACTGCCCTGTCCTGTGTCCTCTTCACAATCTGCTAAGTTTGAGCCCACTGTTGCAGCCACGGTGTCAACTGATCACATTAAGCGTCTTTCTTTTTTATCGCTGACCATCTGCTTTACCAAGCATGATGTCCTTCTCCAGAGACTGGTCCCTCCTGATGACATGTCCAAAGTATGAAAGGCAAAGTCTCACCAGCGTTGCTTCTAAGGAGCTGTCTGACCATTCCTCCTAAGCAGATTTCTTAGTTCATGGTACATTCAATATCCTTTGCCAACACCACAATTCAAATTCTTCTTCAGTCTTCCTTATTCACCATCCAGCTTTCACATGCACATGAAGCTACTGAAAATACCATGGTTTGGGTCAGGCGCATCTTAGTTTTCAAAGTGATATTTTGCTCTTCAACACTTTAAAGAAGTCTTTTGCAGCAGATTTGCCCAGTGCAACACGCTGGCTGATTTCTTGACTGCTGCTCCCATAGACATTGATTGTAGATCCAAGTAAAATGAAATACTTGACAACTTCAATCTTTTCTCCATTTATTATGATGTTGTTTACTGGTCCAGTTGTGAAGATTTTTGTTTTCATTATGTTAACATTTAATCCATACTGAAGATCTTTGGTCTTCCTCAGTAAGTGCTTCAAGTCCTCTCTGCTTTCTGGCAGGCAAGGTTGTTGTCATCTGCATATCACAGGTTGTTAATGAGTCAGAGCTGACTCAGTGGCACCTAACAACAACAACAAACATCTTTCTAGTATTCTTTGCTTTCAGCCAAGATCCAATGGATGGATTAAATATGTGTGGAAAAAAATAATAAAATCAGTAAATTTATAGACTTCTCGTTAAAGTAAGAGAATAGAAACCAAAGGATTTCAGGGTGAATCATCTTAGATTTCTCTCTGAAATACAAAGCTAAGTAATCTACTTTGAAAGGCATAGATTTTTAGGAGGGCATTAAGGAAGATTGTTGTTGTTAGGTTCAGTGAAGTTAGTTCCAATTCATAGCAGTTTATATACAACCGAATGAAGCACTGCCTGTTCCTGCACCAGCCTCACAGTCGGTACTATGTTTCAGCCCAGTGTTGCAGCCACTGTGTGAGTCCATCTTGTTGAGGGGCTTCCTCTTTTTCACTGACCCTCTACTTTACCGAGGAAGATTTTCTTCTCCAGAGAGTGGTCCCTTTTAATAACATGTAGAACTGAAGAGGGCAGCAAATGTTTACAAGGAAACGGGATGGGACCAGAACAAGGATAAACAAAAGCACTGATTAGCAATATTAATTCAGCCAAATTTAGAGATCATGAATGGCACAAACCTACCCAGATGAGAGGCTTTAACTTTTCAAGATGTGGCAGCTTCCCAAATCAATCCCTAAAGCTCTCACAGTTTAGAACACTTGGGCCAGCCAACCAGTGACCTGAAAAAAAAAAACACCATGTGTTCAGTTTGCTGGAAGAATATGGTTTTATGTGGTCCTTCCCATATTCTTGAGTAAGTAATTGGGGCAAGCTTGTACTTGTTCTTGGAAATTCTTGGAAGAGAGTACTACACAGTATTGAACACCCCAGTCTCAGAGAAAACCTGCCTGGCAAACTCTAACACCATATTGTCAGCAGGAGGAGTTGGGAAATGGCCTGAGATTTCAGGAAATGATATGAACCCAAGAGGTTGGGTTTGTGGTTTGTTTGTAAGAGTTGGGACACACTTTACTGAATCACAGAGCTCATACTTAGCTAAACCTAAACTGATAGCAAATGTCAAGATGGAGCTTAAAAATGAGGCTAGCTTCTCCCCAGAGATTGGATTCTGGGCAGAAAATTTCATGTTGCAAAAATTTTCATGTTGCAAAAATTAGAATTGATCTACTTTTGTAGGATACCTCCAAAGACCTTATGTACAGCCAGCCCTCACAAGGACTAGTACTAACAAGTCAAGAACTAATGCTACTTCCTCCGCCTTTCTGTTACCACATGGCCTCTTGTCTTTCCTCTAAGATGCATTCCCCCATTCTACTGCTGCTCTGTGCAGACTGGCTTCTCTGCTTAGTAAACATTCACCTGGACAGAACTTGACCTTCTAGACCTAACGCCACCTCTACTAACATCTTCCACTAACCATGTGTCTTCCTTAAAATTCTTAACAGAGAATCTGACTGATTATTGGCCAGCCAATGAATGGATTGAATGTCTATCAGCAGTCCAATTAGCCATTGACAGAAGGTGTGTGTAAGACTGCCGTCTCCAGGGGATATAGGAGAACCAGAATTTCTAGAAGGGGCAAGGAACATAATACCCAATGTAGTCAGGAAACCTCAATTAAACTGTTCTAAAGGAGAGAGGATTCTTAACCCCTTTTAAGTGCTGCAGTACTCTCAACTTCTTATGGGGAGTTCATTTTTCCATTTTTCATGCTCTGCAGCCCTTTCCAAGTCTGTATTTGTAAATCTTTATGGGAGTGAGGCCAATGGGTGACACAAATAATTAATGTACTTGGTTGCTAACCAAATGTTTGGAAGTTCCACCTAGAGGCACTTCAGAAGACAGTCCTGGTGACCTACTTTCAATCAGCCATTGGAAACCTTATTGAGAAAAGTTCTTCTATGACACATGGGGTCACCATGAGTCAGAATGGATTTTACTGGCAACTGGTTTTTTGTTTTTTAGAAAAAGAGGTGTGGAGCAATTTTATAAAGGGAAGCTTGCTTTTCCATAGTAAATTCAACTGTATGAGATAGCTAGAGGAAATAACTTGACACTTGAGCTTGATCCAAATTTCTTCTCAGAAATTGCATCCTGATAATCAGTGCTCTTTCTTCCGCTGTATGTAAATGCCCCCTTCCTTCCTCTCTAGGGAATGACTTCACTGCTGGGGAAAGTGAGGAAGACCTTTTGGATGAATGGTCATTCAGGGGCAATTTTTTTATTTTCTTAACATTGGTTAAGTTCTTGCTTTCTACTGAATATTTTTTTTATCAAGGTACAATAAAATGTATACATCTTGAAGGTGTAGCTTGATCATATTTTACATCTACACACACATATGTGTATATATGTACATATATGTCTATGTGTGCTTATCCTTTATTGATGTAAACACCAGCCAGATACAGAACATAGGTTAATAGTTCCCTGGTGATTCTTTCCACTAAATAACACCAATTCCAATCCAAAGGTAAGTATTTTTTCTGATGTTTTTAAACATAATTTAGTTTTGTTGTTGAACTTGGTATCAGTGAGATCTGATAGTACGTACTCTTTTGTCTAACTTCTTTTAATCACATAACATCCATAGGATTCATTTATGTCATTATATTAGCAATTCTTCCTTTGCATTGTTGATTCATTGTATAAATATGTACAGCTTGTTTATTCAATCTTCTATTGATGGACACTTAGAATTTTTCCAATTTTAGGCTATTACAAGTAAAGCTATTAGAAATATTCTTGAACTAATCTTTTTGCAGATATATGTCCCTGTTTCTCTCCAATAATATCCTGGAGTAGAACTGCTGAGTTATAATGTGTGTCTATGTATTATTGTATTAAACTTGGGCAGTTCTTCCAAACATGTTTTGAGACTTTTCTGTTTCTCTCTTCCCATTTTTCTCCCCTGCTGCCATCCTAAAGTATCTTCCTTTTACTTCTGTTATCAGGCCTGATTCCTAACCTACATTTTCCTCTCCGCAGGACAAGAAGGGGTAGTCACCCCTCCTGGAGCCTCACAAAACAACGTGGACCCTACAGACTGCCAGATCTTTAAACTCACTCCTCCTCCTATCACAAGGAAGCCAGTGACAAAGGTCAAACCTATCACAAGGACACCCAAGTGTCCCTTCCATTTTTTTCCACAAAGAAAGCCTAGAATTCATTTTAGGTTCCCATACAGACCTTTCCTCCCTCCAAAGTGCAACCACCGGTTTCAGTATCGACCAGTTTTTTGCCCACCTGGCTGCCACACTCCTTGTTACAACTATTTCCCCAGAAGAAAGCTCTGGAGAGAAAGTTCATCTGAGGAAAGCTGAAAGATAAAAGAAGCCCCAAACTGAAGTGAAAGAAGGCAATGCCACAGAAAAAGCAATAAAAAGATTTCTGTTATCTCTTTCCAAACTAAAACTATTGGATTTGGAGACAATATTGGCTTATAGGTTATTCATGTTTTGCAACATAGTGACAGCAACTACAGTATTCTGATCAACTTTTTATGATTACAGGATATCTATGCAAATAAAATCTTAAGATGGATGATTCCAATAATTAATATTCATACTGAGCTGCCAGAAGAATCAATCCCTTCTTCCGAGTTGGAGTGAAGAGCATTTAAATAAAGATTAATATAAGCCAAATGAAGATACTGTTTTTCTACTCATTGGGAAGCTTACAGAACAAGGTGCATTTACAAAGTGAACTTTAAAACAAATGATAAAAACTAAAGCAAAACAAAATTGTGGGGAGTTTGACTATAGACAATACTTTAAAGATACTGTAAGCTGAATTGTTTTTGTCATTACTTGCCATCAAATCAATTCCAATTCATAGCAACCCCATATGAGCAGACTAGAACTGCCCCTTAGGATTTTCAGGCTAAGACTACACAGAAACACGTTGCCAACCATTACAGCCAAGTCGCCTCTGGATGAGTATGAATTGCCAAGTTTCAGTTAGCAGTCCAGCACTTAACTACTTGTGCTACCCAAAGATTCCTATAGACTGAATTACCTAACTCAAATGACTCTTTTCTTTAATCGTAGTATCTAAATTTATTTTAACGTTAACTTTTTCAGCAACCAATGCAAATTAGTTTCATATGTATCTCACTGTTTCTTCTATTGTTGTCATATAGATACTAGCTAAAATGATATACTTCCTCTAAAACTTTCAACTTGGTTCTAGTCTCAATGACCTGATTAAAAGATTACATGGATGTTCTTGCGACTCTGGAACTCAACAGACATAAATTCACTCAGCTATGGGAACCTTGTATTCTTGGCATGCTATATGAGAAATAAGGAGCTCTGGTGGCGTAGTGCCTAAGGCACTTGACTGCTAACCAGAAGGCTGGCAGTTCAAACCCACCAGCCACTCCTCGGAAGGAAGGTTGGGCAATACTGCCTCGGAAACCCAAGGAGGGGTCGCTATGAGTCAAGTCTGACTCAAGGGCACATAACAACGACAACAACATATGAGAAATGAATCCCACAAACTGTATTCATTGGCTATTGTCTGGCCGCTCTGTAAAAAACTGCCTTCTGTTTGTGCCACTCATCTTGTCTATGAGATAGAAATTTTGGTTTTACATAGGGACAGTGGCTTACACTCGTTCCTCCTAAGATTTGTAAAAGTTGATCCTTCTCTTGCTTCTACAGAAAAAGAAAAGAAAACTTGTTGACATTGAGTCAGTGGCACAAATCGTTTGCACTGAGCTACTGATCAAAAGGTTGGCCATTTGAATCCAACTCAGTGACACTTTGAAAAGAAAGGCCTGGTAATCTACTTCCATAATATTACAAACATTGGAAACCCTATGGAATGCAGCTATACTTTGACACACACCAAACCAAACCAAACTCACTGCAGTGGAGTCATTTCTGACTCACAGCGACCCCTCCTTGGGTTTCAAGGAAGTATCTCTACGGAAGTAGGTTGTCCAGTCTTCCTTCTGAGGAGTGGCTGGTGGATTTGAACCTCCACCCTCTGGTTTGCAGTCAAATGCCTTATGTCCTATGCCACCAGAGCTCCCGCCACACATACAGGATCACCAATAAAGAAAGAACAATATAGACCTGAGAATTCTGGGGATGGTTGCCAGGGAAAAGGAGAGAGAGAGGGGAAACCATCAAGTGGTGTTAATGTGCTATATTTTAAAAAATTTAATTCCCGTTTCTCATTTCATGTTGTTGTTTTTGTTAATTGTCATCGAGTTGGTTCTGACTGGTAGAGGTCTTATGTGTAACAATGAAATGTTGCCCTTGTCCTATACCATCCTTACAATTGTTACTATGTTTGAGACCATTGTTGCAGCCAGTGAGTCAAACCATTTCCTTGAGGGTCTTCATCTTTTTTGCTGACCCTCTGCTTTACCAAACATGATGTCTTTCTTCAGGAATTGGTCTTTCCTGACAACACAACCAAAGTATATGAAACAAATTCTCACCACACTCACTTCTAAGGAGCATCCTGGCTGCATGTCTTCCACAGCAGATTTGTTTGTTATTCTGGCAGTCCACAGTGTATTCAGTGTTCCTTGTCAACAGCATAATTCAAATGCATCAACTCGTTCTCCATCTTCCTTATTCATTGATCAGCTTTCACAAGCATATGAGGCAAGTGAAAATACTACGGCTCAAGTCAAGTCGACCTTAGCCTTCGATGTGACATCTTTGCAAAAACTTTCCTTTACTCACTTCATAGCAAGTTTTTAAGAACAGATATTTGCTTCCAAAGTACAGGTTTAAGTAAAAATGTACTTGAAACCCTCATAAAGAAACTCTATATTTTGTTAAAAGCCTTGCCTGCTCTTTTTTTTTTCTTTTTCTTTTTTTTTGGTTAGTGGGGACAGAACCAGGAAACAGACCACCCCGGGCAAACTTAAAGATAGTTAAAAATTTGTATTTGAATCTCACCCCCCTTGGGAGCTCTGATGGCATAGTGGATAAGAGATTTGGCTGCTAACCAGAAGGTCAAGGGTTCAAACCCACCAGCCACTCCATGGAAGGAAAAAGGGACAATCTACTTCCATAAAGATTTACAGCCTTGGAAACCCAATGGGGGTCACTATGAGTCGGAATCGACTAGATGGCAGCAAGCTTGGGTTTTTTGGTTGTTTTTTTACCCCTTATAGATGGATAATTAAGAGACAGATTTGATATGGGTGAAAGGAGTTTAAAAAGAAAACAACAACAACAAAAAAGGAAAACAAAGTAAGATTAGCCATTATTTGATAGTTTTTGAAGCTACGTTATGTGCATAAAAACAAAAACCAAACTCACTGCCGTGAGCTGGATCCAACTCATAGCCACTCCTCCTTGGGTTTCCAAGGTGGTATCACTACAGGAGTAGACTGCCCAATCTTCCTTCCGAGAAGTTAGCAGTCAGATGGTTAGCAATCACATGCCTTAGACACTACACCACCAGAGCTCCCAGGTTATGGGCATATGGAGATTCATTGTACTAATCTTTGTTTCCATTTGAAATATCTTATAATTTTAAAAAAGTATTTTAAAGGACTCTCACCTCCCTTTCTGGACCTTCACTTTATTCTGGCATGCTTACCTAGGAACTCAGTGCCCTCATGGTGTTCTCAACTGCCCACAACCAACTTGGTTTAACTGGGCATTGCTTTCTCAAACACTAGAACTTTTGCCATCCAAAACTCAACTATTCTGAAATTTAGTCCTGTAATGTTTTGGCAGGTGATATGTAAATCTCAGATAAACTAAGACAAACTAAAGATAGATTAACAGCCTAAACATGTTAAGCACTGTATCCATTATAGAAAGAAAGCTATTCCTGTAGTTTCATAATGAGTGCCTTTATCAAAATAACTCTAGACAGAATTGTGTCATTCCTCACCATGGAACATGCATAAAGTTGTCTAAGTGAGAAGCAGTTCGCACCTGCAATTAAAACCATATGCCTTTGTGACTTAAAAAAAGAAAAAATGTATTATTTCTTTGGGTTAATAACTTACTCTTTTAAAATGCAATGATTCCTAGCAGGTTTATTGACTCGGGAAGATGGTCTTCAGTGAGTAATGCCTCAAAGTGAATTCGTTTATCAAATTGTTTCTCCTAACATATAGGTAGGATTAGCTGCTTTGAAAGCAATGAGAATCTGTTGGAAGGCTATGTTGTTGTTGTTGTTGTTTGCCATTGAGATGGACCCAACTCATAGCGACCCCTCCTTGGGTTTCCAAGGCAGTGTCACTACAGAAGTAGATTGCCCCATCTTCCTTCTGAGGAGTGGCTGGTGGGTTTGAACCACCAGCTTCTGGTTAGCAGTCAAGTGCCTTAGCCACTATGCTACCAGGGCTCCTTGTTGGAAGAGTATAATAACTCTCAAATGCATCTTCTGTTGTCCTGTTAGGTGCCATCGAGTTAGCCCCAACTCCTAGCAACCCTATGTACAACTGAATGAAGCAATGCCCAGTCCTGCACCATCCTCACAATCCTTGCTATACTTGAGCCCATTGTTGCAGCCACTGTGTTAATCCATCTCCTGAGGGTCTTCTCTTTTTAACTGACCTTTTACTTTACCAAGCATGATCTCCTTCTCCAGAGACTGGTCTCTTCTGACAACATGATCAAAGTACCTGAGACAAAGTCTGTCCTCTCCCGCTTCTAAGGGGGATTTCAGCTGTGTTTATTCCAAAACGGATTTGTTCATTGTTCTGGCAGTCCGTGGTATTTTCAAATGCATCAATTCTTCTTCAGTCTTCCTTATTCATTGTCCAGCTTTCACATGCATATGAGGCAAATGAAAATACCACGACTTGGGTCAGGCACACCTTAGTCTTCAAAGTGACATCTTTGCTCTGTAACACTTTAAAGAAGTATTTTGCAGCATATTTACCCAGTGCAATATATCATCTGACTTCTTGACTGCTGCTTCCGTGGGCATTGATTGTGGGTCCAAATAAAATTATGTTCTTGACAACTTCAATCTTTTCTCCATTTATCATTGTGTTACCTATCAGTCCAGTTGTAAGGATTTTTCTTTTCTTTATATTGAGATGTATACCATACTGAAGGCTATCTTTGATCTTTATCAGTAAGTGCTTCAAGTCATCTTCACTTTCAGCAAGGAAGGTTGTGTCATCTGCATATCACAAGTTGTAAATGAATCTCCTTCTAATCTGCTTCATATAGTCCAACCTCTCAGTTTATCTGGTCAGCATACCGATTAAATAAGTATAGTGAAAGGATACATACCTGACGCACATGTTTCCTGATTCTAAACCCTGCAGCATTCCCTTGTTCTGTTCAAACAACTGCTTCTCGTTCTATGTACAGATTCCTCATGAGCA